CTAACTGGACATTTATTCTGGAGACATTAGTATTTACAGCAGCTACTGTCTGCGGCAGCTGCTTACAGGTGAGGCAGCCAGAAGGCCAGGCTGGCAGCAGAATACTCAATAGTAATCTGCCTCCAGATCCCTTCAGTGCTGCAGTTTATTAACTCCGTGATGAGAAGAAACATGTTTTTAAAGTCATACTGTCTTACTGAAAAACAATCTCTTTTCAACCTCCACGCACGTTCTTCTGAATGCCTCGTCTTTACCTTGGTATAGATAAAGAGCTCCCATTCAAAATTAACGCCTGCAGTTTATTGAGCATGTAACTGTCCTTCAACTCTATTAGCAAGCATTCAGTTCAGGTTCCAGTCTTTGAAAACCGATGCGCTCAACCCTCGTGCTTCGACGTCTAAAAGGTGTGGAGAGCTGGGATGTATGCAGAGTCAATATTTATGTAGAGGCTCACTGCCTGAGGCTTCAGTCGCCTGGCCCCGCTGTGCTCTCCGAACACTATTTACAGTGGCTGGCACTCTGTGGTCCCTGTGCATGCTCACCTGCGACAACTGAGTGAACTCTGGACCCTGAAACAGATGGTTCTTCTTTCCCCCCCCCCCCCCCCAACAGCCTTCTTTAGTATGCTGCCCACATTTGTTGTTCAGGGTCAAGGCAGACTGTTTGTGTGCACAGTCGGTCTCTGGGTGTGGGATTATAGATGGAACTCCCCTGAGGCAATGGTTGTTTTCTATCTTGTCTCAGCTTTTCAATTGAGCTTTGTTCCTCTCTCTCAGAGAGGTGTTACATGTCCAGGTATATTGTGAGATGTATTCAGGTATGTTTCCAGTTCACGCTTTCAAATTGTTTGTGTTTGACATCTCCATCTGTGAAGCGCGGCAGATTGTTATATTAGCTCACTGAGAAGAAGAGTATTGTTGCCTTGCTTCATCGATCAAATCCCTTTGCACGTGTCACCATGGGTCTGAGGCTGTCCGTTCCCATAGTGACAATCAAAACAAGACTGCCGATGAAAGCTGCATCTAAGGAGAATCATAATAACCGTGGTATTTACGGCTCACTGTGCCTGACAATAATGCGTCTGTGTGTAACATTAGGCTGTGTTATCTCATGCTGTGAGGCCGATTGATGCTGAGTGATGGCAGTGTTTGTATAGAGTGGGGTCTAAGAAGTCACTTCCCAAAACATATTATTTACCACAACCAACATTTTAATTCTGAAATCAATGCTTACGTGCCAAGTAGATTGGATGAACAGTTGTAGAGTCATACATACTGTACATACCCACCTTAAAACATGCATAAACAGCACATTCTCACACCAATGGGTCAAGTAACGCAGCTTGGTCAGTGGCACTAAGCACCAAACTATGATTCCAGCAGCAGGAAGCTGGTTTCAAAAAAGTCCGATAGACCCGACAGTACTCTACCTGCTCAGCACCAAACAGCAATCAGACCCAGCTAACGACTAGCTGGTGAACATAGTGGAGTAATTAGCAGCTAAAGAGCCAGATATTTCCCTCAGGAGTTGTTTGGACAAAAACTGGGCTAGTAGGAGTGACTACATGGACTTCCACTTATAAGGGGATATTAATCGTGTTTGACAATTTTTCAGCCATAAGACCAACTTCCCTCATGTAAGTCTTTCAGTAACTGACATTCAAATGTGTTTTGTCCTTGCTGCTGTAATTTCTGTACTGGGGGGGGGGGGGGGGG